CCTGCTGGCCCCAAGTGCTGTGGGAAGATCGTGGGACCAAGCTCCTCTTTCCTCAGCGCTCTTGCAAACTGGTTTGAAAAATGCAGCTGGTGCAGGACCGAGTGGTGCAATGGCCCCGGGCGTGGAGATGAGCACTGGACTTGTTCCTGCTTGGAAGAGTGTCCTGACCTGAGATGTTTGGGAAGGGAGGAGTGCCCAGAGCACGCTGGCAGGGGCTGCCTGGACCAGCAGGTCCTTGCTAGCTGGAGATGGGCACCTCCAGCTTCCTCGTGCCCCTCTGCCTTCTCCGTTGTGCCTTCTACGCACAGTCGCACGTATGGGAAGATTCAGCGGAATCAAGATGCCAGGGAACTGTACGTGCTCCTGAGGCAGGAGGAAGCCACAACGCTGGAAAATTGCACTCAGGGGATTCCGCAGCTCTGAGCTCGGCTTGCTGGTAGGGACAAGGAAGCGCCGAGCAGCGCGCGGCGGCCGCGGACCCCGCGGGTGACATGGGGCAGGGAACGGCTCGTGCCGCCCTCCTGCCTCCCTGCGCCGTGCGCCAGGAGGGACCTCGGGTGAGACCCGCTGGCTCTGTCCCCCAGCCCATCTCGCGTGGTTTTAGGTCTCCGCAAGCATCCGATCTCCTTAAAAACTGCCAGGTGCCTGCCGTGAGCTAGGGAGGCTGAGGCGCGGGCCAGCCAAGTGACTCGTCTGGAGCGGCACCCGGAGCAGCTGGAACTGCCGGCCCTTCCCAGGGTTTAGGCCGGTGCACGGAGCACCGGACGATCTCTTCTTTCCCGTGAACGTGTTTTTCTTCAGCTTGGTGTCCAGAAAAGCCCAGGGCCATGGAGTTTGAGACCTGTCGGGGGGTATTTGCACTGCTGGAGCTGGGGTGTTGCTGTTTTTATCTTAGATGGGTGTCAAGTAGTACACGAGAAATCCAGTCAGGAAAGGACAAGGATTGAAGCGCGACTTCCAAGCCCCCTTCCCTCCACCGGTTTGCTTCCTCCTCTAACGGCAGCACTTGGTGTGTCTTTTTTCTCTCTCTCCTTCTTTTTCTTCCCCTCCTGGGCCTCGCCAGCGGGCACAGCTCTGCAGCCCGTCTGCCCGTCCTCCCGCGTTATCCCGCTCTT